TTTTGAGATGTCTAATTTCTTTGATCTGTCCAGGTGTTAAAATAGTGGCACCCCGCCAATAATGGGTTTTTAAAATTGAGGTAGATATAATCTTCCGATATTTTTTGACAATGTATTTAGATATATAAAAAATATTAGATATTAATATTTATCATTTTAGATGAATAATAAAAATTTGAATTCAATATTTATTATTTTAGAATAAGAGGGGATGTTAGAAAGTATAATTTATTGTTTTAGATGAGTAGAATATATTCTAATATGCTATCTAAAATAATAATGAAAATGATCGATAACCTTTGTGTTTATTTTTTATTTATTGTGATTATTCTCTAACATAAAATTTAGAAGTTTTTTTTTACATGTTTATGGCTAATATAAATAAATGGGAATATATGATCTTGATAAAGAAATACGTCACATCTTACAAGACTCATCCAAGATACAAGACTATAATGCTAAGTTGAGAAATGAATACATAAAGATCAATAATGAGGCCAGACAGTTGAAGGTTGAAAATTCTTTTTTCTCAAAATGCTTGTGCGGAGACATCTTTCACCAAATATAAAGCTGAATGTCATGCAAAATCAGAGAAAGTGAAATCGCTTTAATCTGTAATTAATTTATTACCCCCAAAATACTTTGATAAGAATAATCAGCCAGATGGTCCCAAGAGAACTGATTCATAAATAAAAAGTGGTGGCGAAAAAAATAATGAGCCAGAGAGCTCTAGTGCTTCTTCAGAACAAATCATACCTGCTACTATTTCTAAAGAAAAGATTTCATTAGGTGATGTAGAGAACTCTATCGATATAGACAAATTACTATTATCAATGCTCACCTGCTCGATATTGCTTTTTCTATTAATTGTAATTATATAGTTAGTCATTGTGAAAAAGCTATGAAATTTGGAGGGTATTATGTCAAAAAAAAAAGTCAGATATCCCACTCACAAAAAATATATAAACAGAGAAAAGATACCAAAGGTATCAGATAGACTGGAGATAACACCTAATTATCTACTGTATGAGTACTGATGCTAATAAGACTTCTTTAAATCTTTTTTCAATGCAGGCTAATATCATTTTTGGTAAATCTTTAGGTGGGTTTATTAAGACTTTTTCTACCTGAGACACCATACATCCTAATAGCTATCTAATATAAATCTGATCACCACTCTTACTATTATGTTCATAATATAGTAAAAATTAATACTCATCTATTACAATATCTGCCATTTCTCTTCTGATCTGCTACTATCTCACGAAATTTCTGTCCATCCTTTTCTGTAATTGGGAGACGAATTTTGTTAGGTTCGAAGCCTATATATTGGGAAAGTTGGTTATGTAATTCAGCTATTATATTAATAAAGCTTGAGTTTAAATAAAACTGTTAATATTGTACAAGAAAAAATACTTAAATACTGCTAACGATTAGCTATATATCCAAGACCGGGCTATGTGATCAGAGGACCAAGTTGAAAGAGGCCACCCCATGACCAAATCAAATATAGAAATTGAAGTTAGTGCATATTGTTGCAGGAAAAAAAAAAAATATATAAATATTATTGTAAGTATTTTTAGTTAAAATTGCTACACACACTAAAAATACTTAACAATATAATTCGATAATATCAACCAAATATAGTATATATATACAACTCTTCTCGATGATCTCTTGTACCAAAATCACAACAAACTTTTTTTTCAAAAAAAACAGTAAACTATGGTAGAAAAGAAGGAAATAAG